TATGGGGATATATGTATACATATAGCCCCATATCCCCTCCCTCTTGCGTCTCCCTCCCACCCTCCCTATCCCACCCATCTAGGTGGTCACAAAGCATGAGCTGATCTCCCTGTGCTATGCGGCTGCTTCCCACTAGCTAGCTATTTTACATTTGGTAGTGTATATATGTCCATGCCACTCTCACTTCTTCCCAGCTTACCCTTCCCCCTCCCTGTGTCCTCAGGTCCATTCTCTACGTCTGCGTCTTTATTCCTTTCTGCCCCTAGGTTCTACAGAACTATTTTCTGTTTTAGATTCCATATATATGTGTTAGCATACGGTATTTGTTTTTCTCTTTCTGACTTACTTCACTCTGTGTGACAGACTCTAGGTCCATCCACCTCACTACAAATAACTCAATTTCGTTTCTTTTTATGGCTGAGTAATATTCCATTGTATATATGTGTCACATCCTCTTTATCCATTCATCTGTCGATGGACACTTAGGTTGCTTCCATGTCCTGGTAGAGCACCTCTCCTTATCTTTCATGAAAGGTTGCAAGTTACTTTGGTCAGTTCCTGATAGTGTATTTCTAGTGATGTTTGTGTGATTTAGGGAATCTTGTTTCTTAGGAATTAAAAAAAAAAAGCCACAAGACATCAAATTAGTGTACAGTATTATGGAAATAATTTTATAAGTTTTGTCATTCTTTAAGGTAGTGGTGAGCAGATTACAGCCCATGGGCCAGATCTGGCCTGCTGCCTGTTTTTATATGGACCTCAAGCTAAGAATGGTTTTTACATTTTTAAATGGGGGAAAAAAATCGAAAGAAGACATGTTTTGTGACATGAAAATTGTATGAAATTCAAATAGAATTTATTTATCCATAAATAAAGTTTTGTTGGAATAGAGCCATGTTTGTTCACTTACATATTGTCTATGGCTGTTTTGCACTCCAGTGGCAGAATTGAGACGTTTCATCAGACACCCTAGGGCCTGCCGAGCCAAAGATATTTACTGTCTAGCTCTTTGCAGGAAAACTTTACTGACTCTTGCTTTAAGATACAGTCCTAAGAATTAGTTGCAGCCCTCTCAGAGGTATACCTGAGGAACATTTAACACACACACATACATACACAACAAAATCTAGTCTTTGGAAAAATCTGTATTCTATGTAGAAATTTTCTCCTATGCCACAAGAGTTAAGTTGTGATTTCCTCAAGTAGGTATATAACATAGTATCTTACCTTATTTTTAGATCTGATTTTAATCTTTGGTTAGGAAGGTAATAAAACATTCACCAGCATTCTTCTGTTACTTATTTAAAAGGTGAATTTAGGAGTGGAGAGTGGGGGCAAAATAGACATGCACATAAATTGAGGATCCTTCTTCTAATGAGAACTGATTATACTTTCTGAAAGCATTTTTTAGTTAAACAATTGGGACTTTAAGTATGTAGATTTAAGTCATAATTTAACATGCCATCTCCCCAGAAGTGGCTAATTCTCTGTCAGAACTAGTATTGTCCCAGCACTTCATCCTCTATCCTATATTTATGCTCTAAGTATGCCTGTATAGCTGCTTCCTTTTTTCTTTCTAAACGGTTATTTCCCCTATTCTGGTGGGAAAGAATTTTCATTCTTTAATCTTTCCTTTACCTCATTCTTTTTTCTCCTTTTTTCTGCCTTAGTCAAAAACTTTTTCCTATGAAGTTCTCTTTCATTTCCCCATCTGTTTCCTTCAAGCTGACTTATCCATGAGATGAAGAAGATAGAACTCTTGTTTTCTTCCTTTACTTCAGTATATGTTAGTCATTATTTTATTTCAGCATTATATAAGTATAGAAGACATTATTATATTTTTAAGCCCCATGCGAAGATCTTTGTAGAATATTACAGTATTTTTCATTTCAGACTGTGTACTATAAAACTTATTCTGCATATTGACTGATAGATTGATGTAGGTAAATTATCGTCAGTTGTGCCAGGAGCACATTATTCAGTTACCAACTTCCTCTTGACTTACTTTTCAAATTTTAATTCAGTGTTACTCATGTGTTCCTACTCAAGTAGGAAAGAATAGGTTATAACCTGTGCTGTCTTGTCTAATCTCTTACTCTGTTCTGAGACATATCAGTGATATGGTCCAGTTCTCTATTAACTCCTACTGACTCTCCCTTCTTTATTGTCTCCTTGTGCCTAGAAATGTTACAGAGTGAGCTACCCTTCTTTTCAGATTCTTTGTTAAACTTTCCTTCCGTAATGATATCTTGAGCTTCTTTTTCTACAAATATTTTTGTTATCTGGAGTTGAAATTACTATATTTCTATTAAAACTTGGAAATTTAAATTCCAAGTTTCTCTCACCTCCAGCACACACACATGCACACAGATTATCTCTAGTACACCCTTCTCTGAACTTGTTAAAGTCTTTTATCCAGATTGTCATTTTACCCTATAAACATCTTTGTTTCACTCTTAACTAAGTCAAGTGACTTTGGGTACATTTTAAATAACATGCTATAGCATTACTTTCAGGGACTTTTCCATACAGGTTCTGAAGCATAAAGATGTGTTTTTTTGGTTTTTTAAATTCTGATCCTTTAATTTGAATCCTGGAGAAATCATATCTTGGAGGTGACAGATCTATCTTGAAATCTCAGTGGTGGTTAATAACTGTCCATAAAATGGAATGTAGAGTTGACAAATTCTGTTGGAGTACTTTGAATGGACTCTTATATCATTTTGAGGGGATCTTTTATTTTGGCCCTTGGGTCTAGGACTGAGTAGGATCTCACTGACTCTGCTGTATCTTTCTGAAAGATTTTTCAGCAGTTTCTTTAGAAGAAGCATGATAATCTTTCAAACATTGAGATTAAAAAGCTGAGAAGTGGGACTTCCCTGGTGGCGCAGTGGTTGGGAATCCGCCTGCCAATGCAGGGGACACGGGTTCGAGCCCTGGTCTGGGAAGATCCCGCGTGCTGCGGAGCAACTAAGCCCGTGTGCCACAACTATTGAGCCTGTGTGCCACAGCTACTGAGACCTGCATGCCTAGAGCCCGTGCTCCGCAACAAGAGAGGCCACTGCAATGAGAAGTGCACCGCAACAAAGAGTAGCCCCTGCTCACTGCAGCTAGAGGGCCCGCGCACAGCAGCAAAGACCCAAAGAATAAAAAAAAAAAAAAAGCTGAGAAGCAGGTGGGGGGGAGAGCCTTTCTTGTTGGTTGCTTCAGAATTTCCCCTTTAGCTGCCTGTATCTCATCTGGAATTTATTTCTTTTACAGGTCTAGGGTTGCAGTTATGAAGTATTGATGGGCTTCTGGCAGGGTTATCGCTTGGAAGAAGGTTTTAGGTTTTGATCCACATCTTTTTGTTCTAATTCGATTTGCATGCATAGATGTTTTGTTTGGATTTAGTTGTCCTGTTCTTATTTTTCCTTTTGGTATTCTACCTTGTGGGCTTTCTGGGAGCTTAAAAAAACTCAGACTTGGTTCTTGAGTTGTTCTCTTTGGGACTGTGGTTGCTCTTACTTGAGTTTGGGTGCCATTTTTCCATATTGGAAGCATTCCGGTTTGTTGACCTTTATATCAGTAATTCTAGTTGTGATGTGCCTCTTTTTTCTTTTCTTTTTTTTTTTTTGTTAAACAGTTGTTTTTCTTTTCTTGCATGCTAACATCTTCCCCTGCTCTTTTCTTTTAGATTTTGATATGTTCACTTAGCTTCTGTGTTTCTTCTAGTCATAGACTAGAAGGCATGCCTGCCTAACTAATGGTTGAATGCATCTTTTATGGCTGCCTTGGATTGCTGTGATGAACTCCTGTCATTACCTAGATGTCATTTCTAGGTGTTAATTTTTGGACAGTCCAGTTTCACAAGATGCTCTTTGCCAGTGAGATGGAGACTTTTCCATCATCTCTAGTTCTTCTGTGCCCGCTTAATTTTGCCATAAGTTTTAACTTATGACCCTGTTGCTAATATTTTTCTTTATCCTTGTTCCATTTTCCTTCTTTTCTTCTGCAAGCTTCATTGGTAATTGCCCTAGGAAGATGAATGCATATATCTTTATGTTATGGAACTGTGCTGAAACAGTTCTTTCAGTACCTGTTCTCTGAAGCTTTTATGAATAATCAGACCCTTACCTCCTTTCACATGGTCCTGTGGTCCATTGGTTAATGTTGGTTCACCCCTCTGCAGAAGAATTGCTGTGGGGAGTCTTTAGCGTTTAAGACTGATTGCTGCTTAGAACCAATTGCTAACATTAACCCTAAAAAAAGCAAGGGAGGCAGATTAGCATTTTCCTGAAGCTACAAGGATTCACTCTACCTTCAGTTAGGAAAGATAAGTAGGAATGTTATCTAAGAGGTCACCTTCAGAATCTGTAAATGAGAGCAAAAATGATTAATTTTTAATGTTGTTTTCTTAGAATAGTAGGTTAACTGTATCAACAGCTGATCATCAGAGCCTGCCCTCTTTTTGTGTTTTTCTTCCTTTCTACTCTGAAGTCTCCTTTTTTTGGTTTTAGTATATGAAGAGCAGGAAATTATTCTATCAAAACTTATTGTTTATAAATAGTGGATTGGGGGGGCGGTCTATGGAAGTGAGGCCTAAGCAGTTTTTCTTGGTTATAATACTCAAAATGGGACTCTAGTTGTGCACACCTATTGCCAGTCATATGCAGATTAAATGCTTTGTGAGAAAAAAGCTTGTGTCTGTACTAGAATCTGATTGGGCCAATTATAAAACAGCTGAGTATGTTCCCACCCCATATCTTTCATAATAGAAAAAGGATATGTGATAATACATGAAACTGTGCTTTGTTAGTTGCCTTAACAAAATTTTGAGCCTCTCACATCCTTCTTTAGAGGGCATCTCTGTAGGGCTTGTAACAATTGTTGTAGTCGCATTTCCTCCTGAAATTTTTTCCCCCTCTGCATCTGGTATAAGTTATACCATCTTATAAAATAGGGCTCAACCTTTTTTCCCCTGTACTTAAAAAAAAATGTGTTAAAAGCCTTGTTCTGTCCTCATCCATCTCCTAGCTACCATTTTATTCAAGGTGGCTGAAGTCATTAAATCATAAAAAAAATTTTGAATGTTTTATTGGCTTATAACACACACAGAAAAGTAATAAGTGTATGCTTTAGCTTTTGTACCCATACCCAAGTAACCAGCTCTCAGATTAAGAAACAGAAGTCCTCTTGGCTCCACCTCGCCCTCTGTAACCACTATCCTGACTTCTAACAGGATAGCTTTGCCTGTATTCAGAATCTTATTAACATTCCTGACAGATGCCCCAGCAACTGCTTGAATGTTTAAAAGGCAGATTTTCTATTTTGTAGTGGCTGTAATTGTTGTGTAGTAATGATCATCCAAAAGTTGCCTTCTAGAAACTGATTCATGGTTGTTATTCTGCTCTCAAGATCTCTGTACTGGTGAAGGAGCTGCCTTCCATGATGATTCTCACTTCTTTGGCAATTGCCCTTCCAGTTGCAGTTAATAGGAGACAGGAAAGCTTTTGACCAAAGATAGGATCATCACATTCTCCAGAGAATCTAAAATTTTGAAGAGAAACAAACTAAGGATTGGGGCTTGAGTCAAATGAGTGAGGCCAAGTTGTTCCAGCATCATTAGGTTCTTTGAGGTACTCAAGTAAAGATGCTTTTCCAGTAAATTTTCTTTTTTGCTTAAAGTAGCCCAATTTGGTTTCCAGTAACTGGAACTATTTATAACCTCTTTCAACCATTCCTCATTAGTAAATACCATCTCTAAACCTCTTACTCTCCTACTCTGGACACCTTCTAGAATCTGCTTTGCTCTTTATTGTATTACCCCCAGGGGCTAGGCAGTTCCCCTTACAATCAAACATAGTGTACAGTAAGTACTTCGGAAGCAGTCTGAGAAAGATAGAGTTGGAAATAAACTCCCCAGTGGAGACCTGATTTTGTTCTGGTTCCATGCTTTACTTTCTTAAGACCCTGGGCAGTTGTCTTTTGGTTTTGGTTTTCTCTTCTGTAAAATGGGAAGATTGGATTAGATCCCTTTTAAAGCCACTACCTGATGTCCTGATGTTACATTGTATGATTACTTAAGGAGCAGTGCAGAGTAACAATTGGGACTAAATACTGCTTTTATTTCAGAGTTATTTCTAGGAATTCTGTCAATGATTACATTGACTTTTTTTGGTAGTCATTCATTCCCTGATTTTTCTAAGTTTCTAACCAACTTTACTTCAATTACTACTTGACAGATGAGCTTTTGAACTGTTGAAGAGCTTTATATTTTTAAATTGGTGGCCTGGGCCTGTCTTTGCACTCTGCTGACTCTTGCCTTGTTTTGCCTTACTGAATTTAATACACACATTTGTAAAGCAACAACATGATGTGGAAAGCATTGGACCAGAAATCAGACTTGGCCTGAAGTTCCTTTGCCTATACTTTCAAACAGTATGACCCTGGGCAAGTCATGTAACCTCTTTAACCCTCAGTTTCCCTGTCAGAGTATGGATAAGAACTTCCACATCTACCTCATAGGTCTGTCGGGCGTGTCAGATGAGGAGAAACTGCTTAATAATCTTAGTATTCTGTTGTCATCAGTCATCAGAACCGTTCCTTTAAAATGTTGGATGGGGCTTCCCTGGTGGCGCAGTGGTTGAGAGTCCGCCTGCCGATGCAGGGGACACGGGTTCGTGCCCCGGTCTGGGAAGATCCCACTTGCCGCAGAGCGGCTAGGCCCGTGAGCCATGGCCGCTGAGCCTGTGCGTCCGGAGCCTGTGCTCCGCAACGGGAGAGGCCACAACAGTGAGAGGCCCGCGTACCACAAAAAAAATAAAAATAAAAAAAATAAAATGTTGGATGGACTCCTTTGGCTGACGTTTTTCCGTGACTACTCGGTCATTTAATCTGAGTGTATTTAAGGGGTGGACAGATTTGGATTAGACTTTGGACTTGTTTTTCTTTCTTTTTTAAAGGTTTAATTTTATTTATTTTTGGCTGCGTTGGGTCTTTGTTGCTGCGCTCGGGCTTTCTTTAGTTGAGGCGAGCGGGGGCTACTCTTCGTTGTGGTGCACAGGCTTCTCATCGCAGTAATCGTGGCACACAGGCTCTAGAGTGCAGGCTCAGTAGTTGTGGTGCACTGGCTTAGTTGCTCCGTGGCATGTGGGACCTTCCTGGACCAGGGATCGAACCCGTGTCCCTTGCATTGGCAGGCAGATTCTTATCCACTGCACCACCGGGGAAGTCCCTGTGTATCTTATTTTAATGCTTTTTACTAGCTAATCTTTGAAAATATGGCCGCCTCTGGGTTAGTAGCTACTCTTAGCCCATTTCTGAAAAGATGATGGCCCTCTGGTACTGTAACAAATCTGCAGTCTACCCCTACTCTGGCCTCAAGGGATCTGTTTTTCGGCACCTCTCTTGGTAAGGGAGTCATTTTCAGGCTAGCCTTTGTAGGAGCAGGGCCTCTTTCCATAAGCCTAAGGGTCCTTAAGGGCAGTTCTGCAGCTAAACCTTGTCTGTTGTTACTCTAATGTTTTCTTTTGAACCTATAGGTTCAGGTAGCGTGGGGTCGAAGCTGGAGTTCTTAAGTGATTCAGCATCACTCATCGTATACATGTTGTCAGAACAGCTGCTCACGATCCATTGTAGTAGTTTGTGTGATTAGAATCATGCCACTTGTCACCTCTCACATATGCTGCAGGGAGACAGGTCTATAATTTACATGTGTGGACCTCAGGAGCAGTGATAGCTTGAGCTGCCTGCCTTCCTCTCATATGAATCAAAACTTACTCAGTGGTTCATCCTGGAGGTTCACAGTTCTGTCATTTGACTGGAATGTGGAATTCAATATGTAGGTATTTCTGAAACAGTTCTCTCCCGAACAGTGAACTCATGAGATTTGTCAGTAAGGCAGTTCTGTCCCTCTTATAAGATACTTTTAGAGAATCTAAACTGAGTACTTCAGCCTTGTTATTTTCACTGAAGCATAAGTGGTTGTGATGAACTAGCCAGGTGTTTCTCTTGTTACCTTCAGGTTGAGGGAAATTGATCTTTAACTCATGACCTAGTACTTAAAGATGTTTAGACATCTAATCTGTAAAAGGGGTATTACTACTTCTGTTTTTGTAAGTACTATTAACAAATATGGCACAGAACTTATTTTAAGAACAAGTTTCACTTGTATTTCTTACTGTTTCATTAGCTCAGACTAAGATTGTCTGGGCATCTTAATTTTGCTCAGGATTTATATGCTGCCCTATCCTGAAGACCCCAGGGGCTTAAATGAATTCAGAGAAGCATCATCTTATCCATTTTCAGTACAGATCTAGATGTAACTCAGGACTTTGTGGCTGAGACAAAAATCTTGGCATTTTTAAGGCTAAACTGAGAGAGGTGGGGAGACAGACAGACATGGAGGGAAGGAGGAAAAGGGGGAGGGATATTGGTTATGGGTTTGATGAACTTGCATAGTAGGTTTATCTTAGTAAAAGTATTGGTCAGTACAACTGAAGCCATTTTGCCTTCTGTAGGATTAACCATGCTTTTGCTCTTCATTTCAATTTCAGGTGTGTTCATCCTCGAGGAGGTGTGATTCAGAGTGTTTCTTCATGGAAGCACGGCTCTGGCACGCAGTATGTCAGCACCCGGCAAACACAGTCATGGACTGCTGTGACTCCCCAGCAGACTTGGGCGTCACCTGCAGAAGTTGTTGACCTTACATTGGATGAGGATAGCAGACGTAAATACCTACTGTAATGCAATGTCACTGTGTTTCCTCTGCACTGTTCCCTTCCACTTACTCCTCCTCCTCTTTGTGACATGGAAGTTCATTGTCATAGCTTCAGCTTCAGAAGCTGTTTGTGGCATTTGTATAATTGAAACTCATGGAAAATTGCCCCCTTCCCTTTTTTTTTTTTTTTTAAATTAAAAGAAGTCACTTAGGAAAGTAACTTATCACAGAGAAAAGAATTTCTTCTTTCCCTCAGTAGGAATCTGAGAATGATGAATTTTATTAGACAACTTCATTTTACTTGGTGACTTTCAATCTTAGGAAACTGCCTTCCTTTTAGAATGATATTTTAATTACCAGGTGAAATGGATTTCAGTTTTTGAATCTTGTATTTATTTTTCTGTAATAAAATTAATATGTAGACTTGACCACTGTCAGCCCACCCATTGGCACTCCTACCTTAGGGCATTTGCACACATATTAGTCAGTTCCTTTTTGGCACCTAGTAGGGCATGTGCATTGAAAACCTGTCCTTAAAAATAGAAGACAGAAGTGTTACTTTTCTTTTAGCTTAAGTCTTCTGCCTTCTTTCCTGACTTTGCTCCTGGCTGAATTCCCACAACACAAATAATTGACATGACCCTTTGTGTTTATAAATACTGCTAAGGTGACTTAGTTGATCCTTGTTGCAATAATTCATAACCCTGGAAAATATCTCCTTGTGAGGCAGAGGCATTTCAGATAGATACCCCACCATGAGGTTTGGGCATCTGAGGAGAGTATTGAGAGATCCCTTTTCTCCCCCTGGTTTGTTCAAATAATGGGAGAAACATAGAACCTGTTACTTAGGTAGAATATGAAAAGTTGTGTGACTTCTAAGGCTTTGGGCACTTGAAAAATCTGAGAGGGCAGTGCCTTCTTCTGTAGCTGGTCTCTCTGTAAAGGATGTAATGACAACTGTTTGATACTTGAGCTGAAGTTGACCTGTTGCTATATTTGAGTATTTTTCTCCTCTACCTTCTAAAAGTGGAAAATTCAAAATACATCATAAGAAACCAGATGCAAAACACATGAATGGCCCTGTAGGTTTTATAGTATCTAACAGGAATAACAAAGGGTAGTAGGAGCATCAGGGAATTCAGGAAATGCCGGTGTTGGAGCTTTGTGGCATTGGTTACTACGTTTTTTACTATAACATTGTAGTTACTAGTGAATTATGTTACAAGCAATACCTAGAATTAGAACACTATGTACTGTGCACAGGGAGGAGTGAAGTAATGGTGGCTTAGAAGACCTCACCTTTTGTTTTTCCACAGTTTTTGTCTGCTTTTTTGTTTGCTTTTGTTTCCATTTTTACCATATAATGGGGCTCTAGCCCTTTGCCTCCCTTCCCAAATGCCTTGGTGGCTCTTCCTTATCATACGAGCATGAGAACTACCATTTTCAGTTTCCACTCAGCGGACACACATTTATACCAAGTGCCTGTTCTGCCTAAGGCGCTGTGGTGGTGCTGTGGGGCTGCTGCGGAGAACAGGACACCCACCGCATGTGCGTGCGTCCGGCTGCCTGGCTCCAGCTGCCTGGCCTTGTCTCCTGTGTGTGTAAAGACTCGCTTATTTCTTTACCCTTCTTCCTGCTGCTTTAGTTCGTCCATACACCTCTTCCATGGGAGTGTATTTAAGCATGTGTTCTTTCACCTTCTCTGATAACATCGCACTTGATCTGGCCTCTGTTCTTCATCAACTTTTTATTTTCCTATCATTCTACTTTTAATAGATCAGGCTTTTAAAGAGATCTTGAATCTCCAGTTTTAGCACCTCATGTCTCAAGTCTCTCATGTGGCCACAATTCTAGACAAAAACCAAAGACCCAGAGGCCAGAGCGAAATAGGACCTTCTGCAGATTCACTACTGGTGTATCCTTGGACTTTCACATTTTACTTTAGAATTAATTTATTGAATTTTACTGTTACACGTTGTTTTTGACTTGAATTAAAATGCTAGACAGAGCAGAAATGTACAATTTCTGGTCTATATTTTCCAGGAAAATCATTGGGGAAAGAATAGAGTGGATTCTATGACTTGAAGTTTTTGCAGCTTATTTTCCCCCCACTATCAGGGCAGAGCCCCATTTTAAAGAACATTTTTGCATTACCTGTTCTTACGTTAGCAGTATGTTTTGTCCAATTCCGTATAGCAGGGGATTTCCCAGGGCATATTTTCTTTAGTCCCTAACAGTCACCCTCTAACGAGAATTCTTTGGGTGTGCTGTGTGCACTGTGGGTTGGGAGTGGAGAGCGGAGTTGTAACCAAGCTCTTTTCTGGCCTTTTGCTTTTATATTGGGTTACACTTTGCCCTCACCTGTCCCTTTTCCAGCACCCTATCTGGCTTGATGCACCAGAACAAAAATTAATATGCAAAAAGCGGGGAGGGGAAGGGATGGTAGAGATAGCTTTTCTCCCTACTAGGTTGGGACTTTTCCACCTACTAACTAACTATAGAGAGACTATGTTTCAACTCTTCTTTCATTGCCAGATCCAGGAGAGTAGGGATGTAGTTTCTGGCAAGGTATTAATGATAAAATTCTGTGGTAACAGTGAGAGGCCCACGTACCGCAAAAAAAAAAAAAAAAAATTCTGTGGTAAATTTAAAATTCTGACATTTAAAATTTCTTTTAAGGGGGTCTTTTTTAACCAAAGTTTTGCATTTGGTACCATAGACACTTTATGCTTCACCGTCTCTTCAAAGTAATATCTCCACTAAAATGGTATACTTGGGTCGCAGATTGGTTTTTGGCACTAACTTGGTTAAGTGCCCCCCTTCCCCCAATTGGAAACCACAGAGCGGTAACTTAGCTATTGCATCAGTACAGCAATATTGATACGTAGCTATTGCTCGCCAGTAGTTGTCTCTTCATTTTGATGGAAGGGGCCGGACTGAATGGACTCCATTATTCGTAACAATTGAGCATCACATAAATTCTGCTTTTATTATTATCAATTGTGAATATGAACCATCTGATTTGCTAATTTAGTCAATTGTTCATTGTTACTTTTAGCAGATTAGCACCATAGGCAATTTAAAAATGAATTTGTTGCCTGCTTTTTATACTGTGTCACAAGGTTTTTGAAAAAGCTGGGGACACAGTATTGTCTTTCAGTTTAAAGGTTTTTTTTTTTTAAAGGCAAAGAGCTCCCCTCCATCCCTGTTTTTCAGTATGTGTATGATGCGACTTCCATGTATATATAAAAATGATTGCGCCCTAACCAAACTTCCTCAGATTGTGCACTGTTTGTTTAAAATAATCACGTATTTTAGTCCAATGCTGTTGTATTTTTTCATTTTATTTAAAACACTACGTACTTCTTATTCTTTTAACAAGTTTTAAAGGGTAGTGATCTTAAAAAAAAAATCACTGGATAACTAGGAAATATTTTTGTTGTTTAAAGAGTACAAAGGTCATTGAAGCCTTTTGCTCCTCTTACCGTGAAAATGAAATGTTAGCCATTGTATGGCTAGGAACCAATGCACTTGGTGGTTAACAGATCTGCTGTTGCTGGAGTGTGAGCGTGGACTTGATGCAGTGACGACAAATCATTGCTTAGAATTAATGTTTTAAAATGTGTGACTCTAGTTTTTAAAACAAAATTTGGTTCTTCTTTTCATTATTTAGTTTTTGTTTCCATTTAGTATTTAATGGTCTTTGGAGAAAAAAAATAATAAAACAGAGTGTTATATATATATTTTTTGGTGCAAGATAAGATTTTCTGTTTTTTGAAATAAGTCTGTAGCATAAAGGTTAAACTATTTTAAGACAAAATAAAATAGAGTGTATTTAAACAAAGATAATTTCTGAGGATTTTTTTTTTCCATCTGCTTCAGTTAATTAGATGGTGCCTGGAGCAGCTCCCAAGTTAGCTTTTGGATGTGAAAGTGAATTATATTTTGTTATCAGATCTTATTGTTAAAGTTGCCTGATTTTTTCCAAGCAACAGCTGTATCCTACTCCTAGAATGTTTTGCAGGTGGCCTTTGGTGTGTTAGATTTAGATAAAAATAGTTTTGCATTAGCTTTCCTGTAGCCCCCACTTCCCTTTCCAGTTAGAACCAGTGAGATTTCAAAGCTGGCGAAAGGCTCCCTAGTGCTAGGCCCCTTTGCTCCTGGGAACAAAACTCAGCTGACAGTTACTTCCCAGAGACCAACGTGCCAGGGTAAGATGCTGTGACTGTGTGCACTTTGCTCGTGGTTGAAGCAAATACAGGGTGTTTCAAAAATAGCCCAAAGAACTTTCCTCCTAATTTGGTTCTATTTTCAGGGTTTTTATTTGGTTATCAAAATGAAAGGAACTACTTACTGCGTTAACATCTCATGACTTTTGTAACTTACTTCATGTAAAGGAGAATGAGGAACCAGACAGAGTAAAGCCTGTGTTTATTAAAATAATCACTCCTGGATTCCTTTATGTTCATCAAATTTTTAGTCCTACCTGCACTGGAAAAAGATCTGTTAACAGTTAGGAAGTACACTGTTAACAGTTAGGAAGTGTTTTTAGTTTTGGGAAATGGTTCTTTTATACTACTTTGTATCTGAGACCTAGACATGTTAGTGCCTATGAGAAACTTCTTTTCTTGGGCTCTAGAAGAAAATTTTTTGCTTAGGGTCTTGTTTTTGAACGCTTTTGCCCTTGGACGCTGCTTTTGAAGAATAGACAAAGCATGAGTAAGTAAAATAATCTGTGGCTAGTACTTAATCTCATTCTGGCTTCCTCTTTCTATTCTTTGCTGGCTTTTGGCCTTGCCTTCCCTTGTTTGTATGTTTTTCACAGTAGATGACAGCTATTTATAACTTTAGTCCAAACAGAAAAATTACATAAATCTTTACAAAATACATAAACATCTCTTCAGCTCCAATTTTGCAATTGAAGTAAGGTGAATTTCTTCTAGGTTTAGGTTTTGTTTTAACCATTTTGCTGATCTATGGAGTGATCCTGCTAGGTCACTGGTAGGTATGATTTTCTTTACTTTCTTGACTCCGTGTTTGAGAGCAGTGATTTACAGAATTAGAGAAGTTCCTGGGCTATACAGTGGAGCTTTGGCTGGGAGAATATGCCTGGAGCAAAAGAAGGCAGTGTCAAATATTGGAAGGAGCAATGCGCTCAGAAAAAGATGCAGGTGATGGTCATGAACATGATAGTGATGTGGCAAGAGCATCCATTAGCCCAACAGAGGTTGTAACACTGCTGGCTCAATTCAACTGCCATTGCGCTACTTTGCGGGTAGCATGCCTTCTAGATGGAGATGGCTTTAGGCAAGGATCCCTTTGTGTGATGAGGATTCACCATTTCTTTCTTTCCTTTCTGCCAAGCCTTGAGATCTCATTTGGTAGGTGGATGTTAGTAAAGGATGAGAGCGAGTGCTGGCAGTGAAGTCAGCCCTCAGAAAGAAGGTGGTGGCCGCAGCTTGTGTGATCTGCTCATAGATCCTGGCCTTCAGGGTGGGAACGCCTCTTGGTTGTAAATTCTGTTGATCTAACTTCTTACTCTTTGGTAAAGGAAACTATTTGGTACCAGTTTTTTCGTTTGTGCTTTGATAATTGACACCTCGAAGGAGTCATTTCTGTTTCCTTTCCGTGGCTGCTCTGTCCTACGAGTGGGAGGGTGAAGTGTTGTGCACCATTGAGCCCTCACTCTTGTGCTTGAGTCTAAAGCAAGCAAGTGTGACTTTAGGATGGATCTTGGCACCTGCAACAGGAGGGAAATCAGACCAGAGGGTAGAGGGACTGATGTTTAAAAAGCCTGTACCAGAGAGCAGGAGACTCCAGAGAAAGACTGTCTGACCGCTAAGGGATTTGATTTCTACGCCTTAAAATGGAGAATTTCTAAGATTTATTTTCTGAGACTGAAAGACAGGACTGTGTTATTTTAGGGAATAATTCATTGTTCTGCAGAGCCGTCGCTTTTAAGGCAGGAATTGAGGAGAGTGGCTTACTCCAGAAAGCTGTTTAAAGGACTACAGTTCTATCATCTCACTTAAGTTTGGGAAGGCGTTGGATGACTAACGCCCACAAAACCTTGAATTTCTACAAATTCTTTACTTTCAAAGTTTTAAAAGAATATGTATTTCAGAATTTTCACATGGGGGTAAGAAGTGGTACAGATTGTTATCCTGATTTTGCAGATTGGAAGACTGATAACAGAAGAATAACATATCCAGATTTACATAGCTCGACTTAGCAAGAGTAGATTTTTTCTGTGGTCCAAATTAGGACTTTTTAGCTTTAAGAAAAACAAAGCCTCTTTTTTCCACCTGGTTTTTCCTTCATTGTTGTTGCTGCTGATTCTACTTTGTTCTGGCCTGAGAAGAATTGGAAGAAGTCTTCCTGAGAAGGTAATGTTTGATTGGTTCCCTTTTTTCTTGGGCAAGTGGTCACAGATTTAAACATCAGAACCACACACCTGCATATGCCTCTCAACTCAAGCTCAGGAATGGCCTTGGAAACTTTTCCCATATATAGATTCCCTGTCTCATAGTTTATGGAACAGGAAAATGTGGATGGTCAGTAAACATAAAAAAGATGCTCAGGCTCACTACTAATTATGGAAATACAAACTTACATTACAGGACACCATTTCACATAGGCAGAATCAGATAAGAATACATTTAAATCCAGTAAGGAGGCAGGACATTGGCAATTCACTTGTCTTCTTGTATGAGCATAATTTGCTACAATTATTTTGGAAAACAGTGGAATTGTCTAGTAAGCTGAATATGTGCATACCTCAAGCTATGGACTGAAGGTTTGGGTTTCCCCTCCCTCCCATTCATATATTGAAACTCTACTCCCCAGTGTGATGTTATTTGGAGGTAAGGCCCTTGGGAGGTAATTAAGTTTATATGAGATCCTAAGGGCAGAGCCCCCATGATGGGATTAGCGCTCTTATTAGAAGAAGAGGAGACATGTAAGACACAGTAAGAAGGCAGCTGTCTGCTAGCCAGAAAGAGGGCTCTCATCCAAATCAGACCATGCTGGCACCCTGATCTTGGACTTGCAGCCTCCAGAACTGTGAGGAAAAAAAAAAAAAGCCTGTTGTTTAAGCCACCTACTCTGTAGTATTTTGTTGTGGCAGCCGGAGCTGACTAAGACACCCATGACCCAGTAGTTACACTATCTGGGATGATACCCGTGAGCAACTTTTAAATTGTTGTGGTAGCCTAGGTAGGGAAGTCATGAAATCAGTTCAGTGTCTGTAAACCATCTTTTGTTTATTTAAGGAAATATTAACAACATAGAAATAACAGGAGACAATATTGTTACATGATACTTTTGTTATATACTGATAAACATCTACACACAAACATGTATGTGTACGTAGGGTCAAGATATAAAATGTATTTTATTTATTTTTACTGTGGGTTACAGTAAAAAGATATGGAAAGCCCTGGTTCTAGAGAAACTGGTTTACATGCTCAGAAATGTTTAGTGTCATTTTTCCCCAGTTTTTGGCTATTTCAACATGGATGTTCATCTATAGGATGGATAAACATTGTGTTTATAGAAGGTGTAGCCACTGTGAAAATTAATGAACTAGAGCAATATTTATACACTTATATTAGTTATATCAACATGGATAAACCTCAGCACTGGAGTGGAAAAAAAGCAAGTTGCAGAATCTGCACTACATGATGCCATTTATATGAAGTTCAAAAAGACAAAACAATACTACATATTGGTAAAAAATTGATACACACATAATAAGAGTATAAAGAAATGCATGAGAACAATAAACACCAAATTCAGACTAATGGTTGCCTCTGGAGAGGGAGGTAAGGAGGGGTCACGGGGACTTCAACTTCACTGGCAAAATTTCTTAAGCTGGGTAGTGGGGACACAGATGTATGTTATTATTTGTACCTTTATGTATATCTTAAATATTTCATAATAAAAATTGTTCTCTGTCTCAAGCAGAAGGAATAAAAGCTCTTTATGACGTTCCAGATGATATTAGTGGAAATGAGTAAGATCTGAAGCTGATTCCTTTTAGATGCCCTCAGTACTTTTTGGATATGTCACCATAAGCAACAACAAAAAATAAATTTGATAAATTGGGCTTCAACAAAATTAATTTTGTGCTTCAAAGGATACCATCAAGAAAGTAAAATGACAGCCTGTGGAATTGGGACAAAATATTTGTAAATCCTATATCTGATAAGAGACTTGCATCTAGAATATATAAAAGCTCTTTCAATTCAATAATAAAAGACAAAAAGCCCAATTAAAAAAATCTGAATAGACGTGTCTCCAAGGAAGATATACAGCTGGTCAATAACACATGAGAAGATGCTCAACATCATTAGTCATCAGGGAAATGCAAATCCAAACCACAATGAGATATCACTTCACACCTACCGGGATAACTAGAATCAAAAAGTCAAATAACAGCCACTGTTGGTAAGAAAGTAGAGAAATCAGAAGCTTCAGACATTGCTGATGGGAATGGTCCAGCCGCTTCAGAAAACAATTTGTTTCTCAAATGGTTAAACATAGAGTTTCCATGTGACTCAGCCATTCTATCCCTAGGTATACGCCCAAAAGAAATGAAAACATATGTCCACACAAAAACTTGTACACAAATGTTTATAGCAGCATTATTCATAATACCAAAAGGAGGCAACAACCCAGATGTCTATCAGCTGATGACGCTTTATGCTACAGCATGGATGAACCTTGAAAACATAGGAAAAAAGCCAGTTACAAAAGACCCCACCACATATTCTTTCGTTTATAGAAAATGTCCAGAATAAACAAATCTATAGGAACAAAGAATAATGATTGCCAGGGGCTGGG